TACACATTCCCTATCTTTGGTTACAAATGAAAAATTAATTAAAATGTGGTATGTGTCTTCTTCTCCGCACAAATAGTAATTACATGTAGTTGAGTTAAAATGTACACCTCTCCTTTTTTGTAGATTTAGTGGGAATTTGTCCCAAACATGATCACCAAACAAAACAAGAGACTTTAATCCTAATGCATTCAATAGTTCTCTTTCTAGTCGGGGATGTGAATTGATCAATTTTATCCCTAAGAACATCGAAATACTAGATTCCATCTGAGGAGATACCACAAATCCATGAATCAGATTGTACAGATGGTTGAAATCTACCAATCATATACGTTAGCGAATGTAACATCCTGACTTCCAGATATTATATTTAATTAAGTTTCTTGCTAGTTAATTGACCAACTTGACGAGTTGGGGGATCAACTCGTCGAGTAGAGACGGTTTTGGCCACATGGATTTAGTGACCAACTCGGCGAGTCGGGGGACTAACTCGGCGAGTTGGTGCTGTGTGAGGAAACCCTAAATTTCCGGGGTTGGGTCCTATTTAAAGGGCATTAAGCCCTCATTTCCGCCTCACCAACTACTTTACTTGTAACAAATCGTAATTTCAAACCTATGTAATAGTTTAGGTCAATGTATAGTTCTTTTTATAATAATAAAGAGAAATTTTAGCATAATGTGCATATTTATATAATTGACCCTCAAAAATAAATTATTTAGCAATCTCGATTGGGATGAACCAAGTGATGGAGATTGTAACAAGGTTTCCAAAAACATAAAGAACACTAAAATCCGAGTTATAACGAAGAAGTTATGACCAATCGAAAATCCGCGACAAAACCGACAAAACACTGTTCAGTGTAAAAACTGAATTTTTGATAAAAGACTTTTTAGCCTTAACAATCTAAATGAAAGTTGTAGTTTATGTTAAACCGAGAACTTTCATAAAAAGAACGGAAAAATCTGACTTCGTATGAGGAAGTTATGATTTTTCAAAGTTTCAGTATAACAGTGTACAGCTAAAAACTCGAAATAAAGATCGAGCGATTTTTAGCCGACACAACCTAAACGAGAATTGAAGGTCTCGTCGGTAGTAGTACAACGGTAAAAAGACAGACGGAAACGGACGTCGGATGAAGAAGTTATGAATTTTTAACGGATTCCCGTCCCGGTCTGTTTAAAATAATAATATTAAAAATGAATTCAAAATTAGCCGATGAAGTCTAAACGAAAGTCGTAGCGTATGATTTTACCTACGCGTGCATATAAAGAACGCCAAAAACGGAGCTCGTATGCGAAAGTTATGATTTTCGCAAGTTTGGCACAAAAATAAAGAAAAAATGGGAAAAACCGGGCAATTTCGCATGCCACGTCACCCTCGCACGTGGCAGCTGCTGAGTGGACCGAACCCATGCGTGGCACTTCCTGATTGGACCGCAACTGAGGTCCACTTAGAAGCAAACAGCTTCGCAGGAGATGCCCCGGAGACACCCCTCGCACACACCTCGGACCCTCCCCTTCGCACGTGTCTCATTCCCATTGGACCGAGGGTTGGTCCAATCCGAGCCAGCCAGCAGCGAGCCTCCGGTCCGAAGAAGCCCCCTCGCCTCGCCACATGTCCGACGCGTGTCACCTTCACGCAGCTTCGGGTCCGAACCTTCGGACTATATATAGCATGCGAGGGTTCCAGATTTTTTACACTTTTTCACCCCAAAAATCATTCTCTTTCACATTTTCCACTCCCCTAAGCTCATATACAACCCCTAAAGCCCCGGTATCAAGTATCGAACCCTAAGCAAGCCTCGAAGCCTCGAGATTCCCGAGAAGTAACCTCTCTCCTGTCGAAACTCTGCCCAATTTGAGCCGGTTTCTCGACAAATAAACTCCTTTTCGTGAAACGAAACTCTGTCCGGTTCACCATCTATCAAGTGAGTTCATACCCCCGTATTTTCATAATTTCTACTATTTTAAGGGGGGGAATACAAGCATAACACAAGAACTTTGTGTTATAAAATCATGATAAAATAACATTAAATTATCTAAAAATACTCAAAACATCAAACTCTTTTATAATCTTATATTTTTCCCCAAAATTCATATTTGTATATATATATGTATATAAATAAGATTTAAAAGGCTTAGGACTGATAACTCATTCTGGGTCCTTTTCCTTGTTTGGATGTGGGCTAAAGTACCGGTTACTTGTCCGAGTGTCGTTTAAATTTTACTTATATATAAAATTGTATATGTATATAAATATAATAGTTATTGCATCAGTTTAACTACCTTTGTAACATGTTGAGCAAGGGATTACATGCAAACATGGTTAAATACACAATCAGGGAGTACATATAAATTATAATAGGTATAATTTATACATAGAACAATAATTCATGATACAAGTATACTAGAATACACAAGAAACTAGGGTTTTGATACAGAACAAATCAAGGTTTACACTTATCAAATACATGTTTGGAAATACTAATTCAAGGACATACTGTCAATCATTATTTCAGAATGATTGGGTTTTGATTCAAAGAATATACTGTCAATCATTATTTCAGAATGATTGAGTTTTCAAACTAATATACATGTAACGTTTATATGCTTTTTATGAGACACTAGATTCAGGTTGTTTAATTCATTTTAAACAACATAGAAAAGTCCTGACATTATAACCAGAATCTCCAGCCGGGGATCGAAACAAGCGTGTGTAGATCTATATCGGGATTGACAACCCCGCACTCAGGCTGCTAGCTACAGTTAGATGAGTGGCAATTGTTATCACCAGTTTAAACGCCCACAAAGCGTTTGTTTCAGGCCATCAGTCATAGTATGGTTATAATAACTCATTAAAAAGATATTAACAATACGTTAGTGTATAAATAACTAAACGAAAGTACACCTTCAAAGTACTAGTTCACAGAATACAAAATACAAAGATTCAATACAGTTTTCAACAACAGCTGGTGGAGCCGGGCACACTCTCAGTTACAAGTTTTCATAAGTAATACAAATACAAAACATTAATACACAGAGAACGGTTTTATGGGAATAAAACTACTTTTCATATACAAACAGAAAATATAGGATTTTCTGGAACAGTTTACATATACAAGATACAAAGATACTCTTTTAAACATAAACACTTATGCACTCACTCAACTTTATGTTGATACTCTCTTTTCAAATTACTTGTATTCTCAGGGAAATAATACACAGGTACTCCCTGAGCTTTTGAGAAGATGGAGCTTTGTTGAGTCATATCTTCTTTTGTATAACTATATTTTGGTTCAATATACAATGATTGAACACATGTAAATACTTATACTTTTTAAATACAATGGTTGTTTTTACTTTGATTACTATGATGCATGTGTTGTGATACTATAATTCAAGTCCTCCACCCCCAGACGTTTCCGCCGTCTGGTTTGGGGGTGTGACATTACTCCCCAGAGTGAAACCCTAATCGCCTAGAGTGAGCTAAGAGAGAGAAGAGGGTTAATCTTAGGCATTTTTGTGATCTTTTGGAGGATAAGTGGAGAGCACCAAAGCTTGGATAAAGAGGAAGCTTTTGGATCCAGAGATTCTTCAAAGATTTGCTTCAGTTGGAGGTAAAAAGATGCTAACGTGTTCATTTCCTTATGAGATCTTGGTTTAGAGAGTTTTTTTGGGTTTTTCACCCATCTATCTTGTGCTATGGAGTCATTTGGGCATGACTTGAGGTTGGAACCTTAAATTTGGACTATATATGGCCTTGTGAGTCCAAAGACCCGAACTTTATTGAGTTGGAGGAAAGATCTTGTGCATGTAACCCTTGTTTGAACTTGTATTGGCATTATGAGCCTAATATGCCATGAATGAACGTAAAGCTTGCAACTTTACGTGATATTCGAGCCTTAAGAGGATAGATCTGGAATATGGATTGTAGATCTGCCTTAAATCAAATGAAATGTGTGCTAAGCTAAGCACTAGTGTGGATACACAAAAGAGGGCAAACCGATTTCATAAGTGTGAACCTAAGTATCCTTTCTTCCTTAGTTTATTCCAATTGTTGGTGGTGTTGTGTGAACCACTTGAGGTGAAACACTTGGGGCACTAAGCTCTTAAAGGTTCAAGGAATCAAGCTACATCAAAAGGTATGTCATCTAACTAGAAGTTTGTGGTATAGTAGCTTCATAATATGCTAGTTAGGATGAAACCTTGGAATATTGAATATTTGCATGTATATTAGAGAAAACATAGACCCAAGGTTTATAGGGTTGCATGCACACCTTAGGAGTGTTATAATGCTCAAAACCCATCAATCTCTTGGATCCACCTGTCGCGCATAATGGATTCAAATCCATGATCGTGGGTTTGAACAATTGCGGAATTTCTCTCGCTCTACGTGGTAATCTAGTCATCTACAAAGACCTTATTACTGAATTCTGGAAAAATGCTTCAATCAATTAGCAGGGAGCAGATGGAGCTGTTGCTATTGAATCCATGGTGAGGGGAACTCAAGTAGTTATTTCTGAGCATGTTATCCGAGAAGTACTTGAATTTGGTGATGCACCTGCATTTCCAATTGAGAAATCTATTAATCAAGTTAAGATAGTCCTTGAGAAGATGTGTTATGAAGGAACCTATCCTCCCACCATAAAGAAGTTGTTGCCACCTTACTGAGGTTTCTGGCACACTACTTTGTGATTTGCATTTCTGGAAGGAAGGGAGAGATTGATGAAATTAGTCAGACTACGACCTCAGCCATTGTCACTCTAGCAATGGAATGGGATTACAACTTTTCAAGGGTTGTCTTTGATGAAATGAAAAGCAACCTCCAGGGGAAGAAGAAAGACCTATTTTTGATGTTTCTCAGGTTCCCTCAAATGATACCGAATGAAAAATATCCCTAACTTGAAAGGTCTTCTGATACTTTGGATATGAAAGCCTTAGGTCCCAACACCTTTGGGCTCATGAAGCAATCAGGAAAAGCAGCCAAAGTCGTCTATCAAGGAATGAAGGAGTTGGTTATGTTTCGAAAGTTTGCTGAAGTTGAAAATACTCCTGCTGCTAGTTCCATTAATGTTGAGGTTGCCGAGGAACACGTGGTACCTAAATAAAAATTTCAATTTGCATTTGAAGAGGTTGAAGTATCTGATGATGAAGAAGAGAGGATCAAGAAGAGGATTTGACAGAGAATGAGTTTGAAAATTTTCTACAAATATCTCAATCCCTGATGAGGATGTTCGTATATGTGAATCGTTGAAGGGACCAGTCAATGAGGCTGTGATTTCTCCAAATGAGACAGAGAAAGAAATTAACATTTTTAAGCAACCAAACGATCCAACGCCTGAACAGATGGGAGACCTTATTGAAAAATTACAGTCAACTGCGAGGAAGCCTCCCCAAACCGTTCATGTTATAACTGAACCTCCATCTGAGAGTGATCAAGAAGATTCAGCTCACGTCCTTCTCCCGAGGAAAAGAAAAAGAAGAGATCCAAGACCTAAAGTTCTTATCACAGACACTGTACAAAATGTATCTACTCCGGTTGAGCCTAGTCCTATGGCCCAAAATATTGAAAGCACCTTCATTGAGTCCTCTCCAGTGATGCAAGAGATTTCAACCCCGTTACCTAAATCCACTCCTATGGATTAGGATTTTGAAATCCCTGTTGTTGAACAAGAAGAATTACCTTAAGAAGGGGCTTAAGCTCCTTTGAAGCCCTCGAGCTGGATATTTTAAAAGGCAAAAGCAAGCTGCCTAAGTCTGAATTTGTGGATGTCGCTCGGCTTCAGAACAGTGTTTTTGATTTGGAACAGAGCTCAGCTGAAAAGGATTTGACTATTGGAGAGCAAGACATTAGAATCAATACTCTTGAAAAGGAGAACTCCGTTAAAGATGCAAAGATTTCAGAACTTCAAGCAAATATTGGTGGTCTAACTTCTTTATTCTTTGACCTAAAACAACGCTTACATCAAATGTTTGGTGATGATTTTCAACCTTTAAGCGCTGAAGGAGAAAAGATTTATGCTTCTAGTTCTGGTCCAGTCAATCCAACTCCTCAACCTGCAAGTGAAAGAGTAATAAGACCTGCTCCAGATGAAAATCTTGACACATTTTTATCTTCTGGTCCGGCGTCTACTTAAGAAAGAAGATAGAAGCAAGTCAGGGTTGAGCACCTGAGAGGGAAGATGCTAGTGATGAAGAATTCAGACCAAAATGCTCCACGTGATCACCCTGAGATGTTTTTCAGGGAGAGTGGGAAGAAATTTACAGATAAGTATGGGGATCGCTCTGGCATTTTGATGTGGGGATATGATGTTGACAAGAAAATGTGGATAGTAAAGCGAAGAGCAGACGAATTGAGTATTATGAGAAGAAAGTTGACTTTCTGTCCTGGACAAAAGTTGATCTTATAGAACTTATGCACACGCCTTTCCACAATCCAACCAATGATCCCATTTTGATGATTGGCTTGTGCGGAATAAGGATATCTTGAGATTTAACGATAAGAAAACATATGAAGAACATAACAAGATGAGTAACATGAGGATTTACTAGAAAGAGAGAAATTTTACAATGAAGAACACTTGGTGGGAAAGATCCCACCATACTCTCTCTCTCTCACACACACAAGAGGACTATATTTTGGTGCATACTAAATAAATGACCGCTCCCTCTCTATTTATAGAGAGAGAGAGGTAACTTACAATACAATAAAGGAAATAAAATAACCTAACTATCACTCATAATTTGTAGAGAAATATCCGTGCTGCAACACAGTTCATTAGGAATCTGAACACAGGAGTGAAAACGAGATCCGCTGCAGAAATTCAAAATGAGTGTCATCATGCCGCCTATACCTCTCTCATTGAACCGAAGTCCGTCAAGGAGGGTTCGGGTCATCCCTATTGGATAACTACGAGTAGGAGTAATCATTTTTGAAGTAACTACAACTACATTTAGAAATTTCCCAGTCGGTTTTTAATTAATAAAACAAAATTTTATACCACGTCGGGTTTAAATCATATTGTGTTGAAGTAATTACTTTCATATTTAAAATTTTCTCTGAATTTTTTTATATATATGAAAAATATAAAATTTCCATTTTTATAATGTTATTTTTTAATGAGAAAATAAATAAAAGAATGCTTTTATTATATAGGTTAAAATTTCAAGACAAATTAGAATAATCAATTAATATATTAACGAATAATAATATATTTTCTTTATGTTAAAAGATGATATTAAAACATTGAGAGTTTCTTTTGAACCACTCTAACATTAAATTATAAAATAATGAAACTCACATTTAGGGATGGCAATGGGTACGGGTGTATCGGGTTTCGTGTTCTCCATCCTCATCCCCGAATCCCCATCCCATCCCCATATCCGACCCCATCCCCATCGGGGATTAAAAATCTATCCCCATCCCCATCCCCAATGGGTAACGGGGATCCCCAATGGGTAATCGGGGATTTTGCCCCGTTATAAAGTTTTGAACTTTTATGAAAAATAACTCATAATTATATATTAACCAACAAAACAAAAACTAACAGAATTAATATATAGCACTATATTCACTGAATGTCTTCAAACACGAACAATAACATTCAAGTTTATAAATTAAATCAATTTTTGCAACAAAAAAAGACATAAAAAGTCTTCTCATAAATATACGTTTGATTGTTAAAAAAATCTTACTTTGTCTATTGAACATTTTCTTAAGCGTTAATCAAAATAAAAACATAAATAATACTATATATATATATATATATATATATATATATATATATATATATATATATATATATATATATCGGGTATACATCGAGGCCGGTTTCGGGTACGGGTATGGGTACCCGACAGATAGAACCATCCCCATCCCGATCCCCGCTTTTTGTATTCGGGTAATACCCATCCCCGTCCCCGTCCCTGGTCAATTCGGGGATTTACCCGGTCAACTTGGGTTAGGGTTTTGGGTACCCATCGGGTACGAGTATTTTTGCCATCTCTAGCCAAGAGACCTAGGGTGTCCCGAATAGACTACAGGCCTGAGGGGCGTACCAGTTAGGCCGAAGGCACTATCGGGCGTACTAGTAGTGTTGAAGGTTCTGTGAGCGTACCAAGACTATAGGCCGGTGGGGCATTCCAGTTTGGCTGAAGGCTCTGTATGCATTCTGTTTTTTGGTATATGTTATTTGTTTGTGTGGTGGTATTTTGGGGGAACTCACTAAGCTTCTTGCTTACAGTTTTGGTTTATGGTTTCAGGTAATTCGGTGGACAGTGGCAAGGTGAAGGTGGGACCGTACACATCCTTGGTTTTACAACTCATTGAATCTTGAGAGACTCTGATTTTAAATAATGTTTTGAAACAATGATTTTTGTAAACATCTTATGACTATGGGTTGTTTTTATAAGTTTAAATTTGTTGTGATTTTTGGGATGTTACAAAGTTCAATTGAGAAATAAAAAGGTTGAAAATGGGGGAATTATTCTCAGCCAATCATTTATTTTTGCCGCAAAATTAAACCTCCATCGTACCGGTGGAAAGAGGAAAAGAATACAAATGTGTTTTCCAACATAACATGTTTCCTTAAACTATGCTAATCATTACTTTAATATATACAAAAACATAGTGTTTTTCGCTTTTTTAAGGAGCTATTTTTGTCGAAAAGTGATTTTAAATATATCATAATTCATAATTTTTTATTCTCTATAAATAGACATCGATATTGATATAGTTTTAAGATAAAATAAAATTTTTATTTTTTTATAGTTTCAGCTATCATTATTCATAAGTGAATAAAAATGCATCGATTTTTATTATAATACCTTCATTATTCACTTATGAACAAAAATATGCTTAATTTTTTTTACAGTTTAAGTATCATTCATACATAACATAACATATAATAAACTTTTTACAGTTTACATCAGCTCTCGTCACATGTAATATTCACATATGAATTAAACGTGTATTAGTTTTACTCACAAATTATATTCGTATATTAATAACACATTTATCATATGTAAGGTCTGTTTATGCTTATGTTTCTGTATTGATGATGACATCCCAATGTTTTAAGATAAACAAAATACATTTCTTCGGAAATGCTTTGATAATATATTTATCATGTTTTTCTGGGAATAAATTCCGCAATATTATTTTTACTCTGATTTTCAAATAAAGCAGAAAGAAATCGGTATTTTATGGCCGTGAAATTGGGGATGTCACAGTTGGTATTAGAGCATTAGTTTAAGCGAACTAGGAAATTGTAGGATTTCTATACTTAAACTTAGAATACTAAGCGATGATTGTGAGATGAGTGTCTATTATATTTAGGTAGTACACCAGAAATGACACAAGCACTAGCTTACTTTGAGATTAGATGCCTAAATCTGAAAATTTTATGTGTTCAGATTTCTAAACGTTTTATTACGATATTAGAACTGGCATGTAACGTTTCAGAGTGATAAGGAGGATTTAAACGTCTATCGTGAATAAAGATCTAAATTCTCCTAATTTGGTGTATAGATCAAAATGGCAAGAACCCGAATCGGAGCTGGAAACACGAATGAAAACAGGAATCAGCAGCCTCGTCCCCAAGTGATTGAGCAGGTGCTGATAGTAGAAGCTGCACCAGAGCCAGTCACTAAGGCTGGAGTACAAGCCATGATTCAGCCTATGATGGCCGAACAGAGGGAAGAGATGAGGCAGATGTTGCACAAGAATAGGGATGAACCTACGATGCCTGTTGAACATACTGAACTGAATGAGGGTCAGTCAGAGGAAGGAAATTACATTAGAACTATTGGTCAACCTGAACCGCCTGTGGTTAGGAGGAATAACCAAGAGGACGGAGTCGAGAGAAACAGATGCAAGTACAAAGACTTTATGACTTGCAAGCCGTCAACTTTCACTGGAAAGGAAGATCCCATCGGAGTAATGGATTAAATCTCGGAGATGGAATTAGCCTTCATGACATGTGGTTGCAAAGGCAAGCTACAAACCACATTTGCAGTGCGTCAGTTCAGAGGTGGCGTTGTTCGCTGGTGGAACACTATGGGGAAGACCATAAGCCCCAATGAGCCACTGCAACTGACTTGGGCAGAGTTCTTGGTGCATTTCAAGCACAAGTACTGCTCGGCCCAAAATATGCTTGAGCTAGAGAACCAAATCCTGACATTGAAGAAGGGAAGCATGTCCATCGATGAATACACCAATAACTTCACGGACAAAATGGAGTTTTCTTTGTGTATTGTCCCAGAAGATCTGACAAAAATCGACAGGTATGCAAAGGGACTTCCATGGGAGTACGCGGTGCCAGTACGTCAGGCACCTACTCTGGAGGCAGCTATCTGGGCTACCAAGTCTGTTGAGGAGATGATCAAGGGAAGAGCCGCCAGCAAGGTCGAAGTTGGTGAGAGGAGAAAGTTCGAAGGATCTTCAAGGTCCAATGAGAAGAGAATATTCTCGAAGTCTGGTTCGAAGAAGTTCGAAGGAGTAGGAGGAGAAGCAAGATGGTGTGAGAAATCTAAAAAGAAACACTTCGAGAAATGTGATGGAGAAGTCACTTGTTTTAAGTGTGGAAAGACTGGTCACTATGCCGGTGAATGCACGACCAAAAGAGAAGTCTGCTTTAAGTGTGGTGAAGAGGGGCACTTCAAGCAAGACTGCCCCAAAGAGGGAAGGAGCTACAAAACCAAATGCACCACCAAATCCAAAGGCAAGAGCATTCCAGATGATCCTTAGTGAAGCAGACGAGGATGCAAGGGATCAGGAGTGAGGATCTGTATGTCCAAAGATCGAGATATGAAGCAACCATATATATAGTATCATATGGCGTAGCCTAATATAAGAGGCCTAGTGTATGGTGAACTTGAACATCCATGTAATCGTTTCAAGAAATAATATAAACTTTAGTTATGTTATCCGATGTGTTAAATGACTATGTGAAATTCTTGTGTGGTGACTTGGAAAAAAAAAACTGCGAGACAATACTTGGGACGAGTATGAGTAGGTGTGAATGGTAGTAGAGGCCTATACTACCGGAAGCACAGGACTCGCACTTGGATCAGGGAAAGTCACAAGGTTACCAAGGCACTAATAATTGATTATGTTTTGTTCATGTCCGTCGTTACC